AGATATCATGTTCATGAGAATGGGACAAACAGACAAATGTGCAGACGGACAACCCAAAAGCATAATACCTCCAGTCACGGCTGTCACTGGGACAGAGGCATAAAAATTTAGGAGGATGTTATTGCAAATATACTATATCTTATCCAACTTTATGGCTAGGTACTTTATTTTCCCAGACTCCCTAAAGCTGGCTGGTTGGTTTTACACTACAATGGGCAATTATAACAAATATTTCTAGGTCTGCATGCATGGTTATCATGGAATAAAGACTGAAGAGAGCAGTGGCAGCCTATAAAAATGTCTCTGAAGTTCATCACTGCATAGGTTTACTGAACCTCCTGCAACTTGGACATTTTGATTCAAGTTCAGTTTTTAATATCTACAGTTTTATGTTTGGGATTTTAAACAAAAGCTTTCTTAATAAAATGCCTTTTTTACTTTTATTGCCCTGTATAATGCCTTTCATATTCAATCACCACTAGATGGTGCCAGATATACCTATTACAGAAGATGGTGATGAAGGTGCAGCCATGCAGCTGTTTTACATGACGGTGATAGTTACTATAATTCTCTTATGTAAGATGAACATCTTGTCCCTGTAGGCTCGTGCCGGCATGAAAGCGGCTGAGTGCAAAGCAGCGCTGACCTCAGGACACAGGACAAGAAGGACCTCAGCACAAGTTGTAAACCAGCACCTAAGGCAGATTACCAGAGAGCTTCTGCCTCCAGTAAAAGTAGGACTGACCCCCTGCAAACCACCAGCCATCTCTAAGACTAATGTCCATTCAAAATAACGAGCAATAACACATGATAAGGAGCGAGAGAGAACACACAACTTGTCAGCATGGGCTTAATTTGATATACACTTTATTTAATATACTTCTGGTTATTTTGTGTAGTTCTGTGATTTGGCTGTCATGTTAATGTCACTACTGTGGGTGATGCAGCATGTATGGTGATGACCAAAGAGTAAGTGAGAGCAGTGATGAGTGTCAAATAAATGGGCCAAAACTGCTGGATATATGCTTACTGTTACACAGCCAGCTATCTGAGAATGCCAGAGATTGAATGAGTTACTACTGGTTGCATCTTATTGAAGGATTTTTTATCATAAAGCAGCAGCCTAGAATTAGTTAAGTAAAGAGAGCCATCTGGGAGATTTGAGCACAGTACAGTACCACCTACTTTTTTGGGGCTGTGTGGGGTCTTACGGGGTTTGTCATGCTTTCATAAATGTTTTTTTAAATTAAATATAGTAATACCATGGTACCTCTGTGCTGTTGTGCTGCTCATCTGACATGTCCCTTCTGCACTAGCTGGCTCTCCCACAGACCTCCTCTCCTACATTGTTCTCATTAGCTATCTTTTCCTGCTTCAGCAGCACTGGCTGAAGCCAGTAAATATTCAAAACGAATCAGCTGGATTGCTAATCACATTGATCGAACTGATCAGCTTTCCCACACGTGATTTTCGATATTGTATTATTCAATATTGATTTGTATTAACTTTCTCCACTTGCAGATCAGTCCATGTACATCCATGCTATATTTAGCGTACTGGCCTTGGTAACAGCTGTATGCTAATGTTAGCTTAGCTAGCCTTGCTAGCTTGCTAATAAGATATTGGAAGAGTAGGATCTCTGTGGTCAACAAGTAAATATTCAAAAAACAAACAAACACACAAACAAACAAAAAAAACAAACAAAAAACACTGAGGGGAAGAAATGTTCACAGACTGTATGTGTGAGACAGAAATAGAGTGGGGCATGGAGTGACTGAGGGAACACATGCGCTACACATGGCACTACAGTGAAATAAGATATAAGCTATGTATTTTAAATCAATATGTGGCGGTCACTATTGATATTGTGATGGCCCACCACAAATAAGTCAAGGCATTGGAAACACTGGTAAACATCCAAACTGATTAATCTGTAAAGTCTAATTTATTCCTAAAAAAATTGCAATTGACAGATATATGAGATTACAACTTGAGGCTGTCTTTACATTTTTTTGTAAGAAATAAGCCAAATATCATAAAACACAGAACCGTTTTGCATTTTTGCGTGTCCAATAAAATTATTATTTTATAATTACATGTTAAAATGCAGAGAAGGGTGCAGGAGATTTTACTGGACATCCTTTCACAACACCAAAGTGAGCAATGGGGATTTTCGTTATTCTGTTCTGACCTCTCAATTCCAAAATGCCCCATATGCAGCGACTGCACCCGCTCAGTGTCAAAACAGAAAAACTGTCACACAGGCTGGTTATGCTCCCTCTGAATGCAGAGGATTGGGACCAAGGGCAGCCACGGGTCTAATCTCGTTTGGAGGCCATTGAAAGCAGTAGGAGCTACTTTGAGAGCACTGCCATTCAAACACAGGTTTTTCCGCTGTAGAGAGAATAATCCCCACCATAGATACAACATTAAAGTAGCCAAGCATAACACACAGAGGCTGAATTTCAAATCCACCCATTTGCATCTTAAAGTGAATGAGTGCCAACAACGGGGCCCAGTGTTGGTGCACAGGCTTTATATTTTAATGTGCAAGTGTAAATGTAGTATGCATTTGTTGAAACTGTTTTCAAAACATATTTTTACATTTCAGGGGAGAGGTAATTGTCATAAGCGTGTAGACACATTATGTTTATCAAATTCTGTCCAGGTAAAATTCTTGGGTGATATTTCTTAACATCATGAATAAATATGGAAAACCGTTTTTCACCTTTTTTTATTAGATTTTTTTAAATGTTATTTTTTATGAAACGAACACTCTATGAGAATGAACAAATGGCATGGTAACTATCTTTGACTGAAGCTGTTTGCCAAAAACGTACTGCACGCCTTTGGTTTACACAGACTGGTATAAACAGCAGATGGAGCTGTAGTAAGATGCTGAATTCACTTCCTGGAGTTAATCTGACAGGACAGTGCTGTCCCTGAAGCTTACTACCTAGTTTTGTGCATGAAGATACAGTATATCATTAGAATTGCCTGACTCACTGCCCATTAAAAATGCAATGTCCATGTAATGTGTCATTGATTAATACACTGCATGCTTAGGCCTTGGTGATATATTCAGACAAAAGAAATGGTTAAGACGGTTCATTTCAGGTGCTGTCTTATTCACAGACTGATTTTTGTCAACAGATAGTTTGAGAAACAAAAAGCAGAAACACAGTGATGCGCCCAGTTAGTTTTTCCCTTTAGATTGCCACAGTGGATCTGCATGAAGTCCGTCTAGACTGCCTCCTGTATGGCTAATTTATGTCAGAAGAGGAGATGGAATTTCAACATATGGTCCTCATTGTCTTGCGCCAGACTTTTAATTAAAGGGGAAAAATCTCCAAATTAATTTGTACAAGCAGAATATGACCTACAGAAAATTATAGGACTGCTTGTAGATACCTCACAGTGGAACAAATTTAAAGAGACTGAAACACATCAAGAAAATAAGGAAGAATCAGTTTCTTCATATATGATGACAGTAGTTTCAGATGCTGTTAAAGTACTGTCAGTTCCTATTGCTGCAAGGCAGCAGTAGTCTCCAGTTTTACGTGTACTCCTTTGGCCAAATCAACAGAGAAAAGAGGTGGGAGGATGGGGGGACACAACGACAGAGGCTGTATGGTGTATAGGTTAGGGGTGTGAATTTGGGACAAAGCATGGAAGCAAAGGAAATTAGAAAATTCGTCCGGATGGAACAAGGGATGCGCCCCCTGCCCCCACCTCAAAACCCGACCCCTTTTTCCTCTCGCAGTGCTCCTGACAGATGGAAGTAAGGGTGGGTGAGTTGATGGGCTGGAGGGATTAAACCTCTGCAGCCCCATTTTGGAGCCTGAAGAGAGTGTCACTCCTGCAAAGGTGGGGTGCAGAGAGGCACTTGTGGCAAGAGTCGTGGGGTGTGTGAAGTGGGTGCAAACAGGCTACTGTCAAAAGAGGAAGGGATACTTCCCATACTTACCGTTCCTCGGCCTCCCCTCTGTTCCATTCACCTTTATCCGCTGAGGAGCATGGAGGGGGCTGCATCTCAATAACCTTAATAGAGCTTCCTTTAATTAATCAGTTCATCTGCAGAGGCCTGATACCTGCAGCTGCCCCCCCAATCCCCTCCATCCTCACCCCAAACACAACATCCTCGCACCGCTGCTGTGACATTGTGGTAATGAGGTAACACAGCTACAATGTCATGGAAATGTTGCGGAGACGTTATCTGTGGGAGCTCATCACACATGCTGATGTTCCTGATCCCCTTCAATGTTTGTGTTGTGTGTGGAGATGAGTGTGTATGTGTGTTTACATACACTGCAGCACACCCCCTCCCACACAAAGTAAGAGATACATATGGCCAAATGGCAGGAAGAAACCATGATGGCACTATTTCCACAGAAGATGGGGGGGTGGGTGGTGGGTCGCCTGAAGAAAACATTTGAAACAGATGGCAATTTCAAAGCAACCCTCATCAATCTTTGTTGACACTACCCCTTTTTAAAACTACACTTATTTGGGATATTTGCAATTATAATACATACTGTAAGCTCATTTGAATATCAAATTAATTACTGAGCACACTGGAGTAAATACCTCTTTTATAAGTCCTTGTTAAAAGTGAAAAGTTCTTGACTACGGTTGGATGGCGTGTTAATTTACAGTGATATCTAATCCCAAGTTACCTCACATAAAAGGCATTACTATACATATTTTAATGGGGAGGTGGTTGTTTTCCAAGCAATTTTCTGCTAGAGTACATTTTTAATTTATTCATATTTAATTTATTGGTCTCTGCATACTCGCTCAGTAAAACTAATCAACACCATGTATGGGCCTCTTAAAGCCACATCTCTCCTTGGCAGGCAGGCAGACAAGCTCTGCATTAGGATAAGCTCTCCTCTTGTGCACAGAGCTGAGTGAAATACCCTGCATTCAGTCAAGCAGGAGGATACCACCTCCAATGAGACTGTTCAGTTTTCACAAACAACCTTTTAATCAGAGGGGGAAAATGGGGGAAAATGAAAAATGTGCCCAGCCTCGAATGATCCCAAACATTTCAATTTCTGTGGACAGTGACCAGTGTCACCACTGTCAGAATATCATCCACTGGGGACAATGGCTTTCCTCCACTCTTTCTGTTATGTCCAACCCTCAAACTTCTCTGCCTTTGAATTGGTTTTTATGGAGCTTTGGCAGTCATTTAGCACAGTATGACTGGAGTTCTTATCACCTGACTCCACAATACACTCCAAATATCTATCGACTCATTGACACACCTTGCGGAGGGATCTACACAACCTTACACATGGAAATGATTTCATTTAATTACCATTCCCCTTTGACAAGGCAGAGAGTAGGGGGGAAACAAAAGAGCCCAGACAACAGGAGCAATTCTCTGGTGAAATGTGCACCATGTCTAATGAGTAGCGGAAAGGTCATTTGACACATTTCTGCCAGAATGAATTCATTTATTTCAAGCACTTAATTCTGTAGTCACCTCATTGGTGCAAAGCTTGGCAGTGCACTGAGAGGGTGCATTACCACAAGTGCAGGCTTACTGTAGTTTCTTCCCAACATTTAGTGCTGACCACAGGTCTATGAGGATGCCTGAAGAGCAGAGAGATAGTGAAATGGAGGGTGGGAGATCCAATCACCCCCTCTATCATAGTAAAATCGCCTCCATCACCTTCAGCATAATTGGAGCATTCATTACAGTTCAGTAAAAATGCAGGTTGCTATTAGATGAGCAATTTAAAAGTAGGCTTTTGGAGAATGAGAGACTTGAGGGGTCAGGACACAGGGTCACAGTCAAGTAAATAATGGGAATTGGTCCCATGGGGCTCAGAAAACCACAGCGGCTGTGGTCACGCACCAAAAATACAACTCAGCGCAGGAGGCAGCCATGAAATAATCAGACACAAAATAAAATGCCCCCTTTCTCATCACCATAATTACAGTTAGAGAGGCAGACTGTAGCTTACCCTCATATATTTACCTGATGAATTTAGAAACTGCTGTGATGCTGCGTGACAACTGGAAACAATTTTCTGAAGTTAATTATAGCACTCGCACTAAAGATATGGAGAGAGAGCTATGAGAAAACTAAATTGAATTTTCACCTACAAAGATGCTATTTCTGCAAGTACTCTATAAGCTATAAGACAGTTGAGCTATCATGTACAAGTTTACTTTTATAAAAGAAGTTTTTAATTGGGGGGGGTTACTTTCAGCTGCCACCAGAGGCCTCAGGCCAGCTGAAAGTTGTACCACTTTGCTTTTGCTGTGTTTTTTATCTACAGGGAAATGTTTCACTGTAAGCAAAAGCAGAAATACTGTAGTACCATAGCTTGATCAAAGAAGGCATATTAATATGTTTAGGTTTGAAAATGAACTTGTTAGTTATGTTCTGAAGGTTATTTTATAAAACTTTTTCCTAAACAAAGACAGCGCAGCAGTAGCCCCTCGGCTTCGGAGCGGCAGTGCTTCACTAACACGCCTGAAGTCACTACTGATGACATGATTTTAGATTCTCTTTGAGAGATTTAAACACTCTCACAACAAATCTGGGTATTTATTTATTTGTGAAGCTTCCACTAATGACCATGTTTTTGCAGGAGAAAATGCTTCTACATTAAATATGAATAAACACAT